TTTCATTCATATTTTGATTTTCAAAAGAATCAAGTTTTTTCCCTTTTTTTGGTTCACATATTTGTAAATGATGGAACCTGCAAAGTTGAGATTCGTTGACTTTTAAATAATTGAAATATGAAAATGTTCCACCATCAACTGATTTAGTATATGAAACTGTAGTAAATTTTCTATAAGGTTTTGGATTTTTACAATTAAGAATGGAACAAGGACCTTTATTAGATTGGGTCATTTTTATTTAAAAAATAAATAATAATTATTTCGTGAAATTTTTTTATTGACTATGTCGATTGTGTAACGTGATGATTTCGAATGTCGATCAAAATCGAAAGTCCACTATGCTTGTTACACCAAAACGTGAAGATATACCATTATTTATTTATATAAATATTAATCATCATCGATAAAAATCAATTTAATTTATAAATAAATAATTTTATTATTAAAGGTTCAAAGATGGTTGAAAATCTTGATAATATGAATGAAGGTTAGACAATTTGTTCTTTATGCATAGAAAAAAGTTTTAATCCTGCATTTACAAATTGTAATAGATATGCATCAAATTATATTTACGCGTATATTTATTTGTAAATAAATTATAGATGTCGATAATCTTGCAGAAAAGATTTCTGAATTAGGGACTAGAGAAGGTTAATATATATATTTGTATTTATATTTTACTGATCTAAATTACTAAATTCACTACAATTTACTTATCCGCAAATATTAGTTGTTAAGCACACTTCATTACAAGAAACAAAACATGAAGTTGAAGTTAAACTTGTTGATGAAGACGAACCTTTATTATCTGTAGCAACGTTTGAACAATTAAATTTGTAAGTTAGTTTGACCCATCATTTTACCAATTTAAATATTAATTATAAAATATTTGTAAATACGTATATTTATATAATTATAAATTATAGGAGCGCAGATTTATTGAAAGGTGTATATGAAATGGGTTTTTCAAATCCATCAAAAATTCAGGCCAAAGCATTACCATTATTACTCAAGGATCCGTGTATATTTTACTGATTATTTACTGCTACTTTGCTTTAATTTATTAATTACTATTTTTACTAAGGAGAAAATATATATATACATTTTCTAAGACCACAAAATATGATTGGTCAATCACAATCAGGTACTGGTAAAACCGCGGCTTTTGTTTTAACAATGTTGAGTAGGATAGATCCTGGATTAAAAGAACCACAAGTAAATATTTTAAATATTATTTATTATTAGAAATTTACTTAATTAAATTATTAGCTGTTAATTAATTAATTATAACTTGTATTATTTAAAATGAAAAAAAAGGCACTTTGTTTGACACCATCAAGAGAATTAGCTCGTCAAATTATGACAGAAGTTAGAAAAATGGGCAAATACACATCAGTGGTCACTGCTGAAGCTATTCGAGAATCTCAACCTAGAGTAACTAAAACAAGACTGGGTGAATTTCATGGTGTTCAATTGATAGTTGGTACACCTGGTACAGTTTATGATCTATTGAAAAGACAAATCATAGAAAAAAATTTTTTTAAAATATTTGTGCTGGATGAGGCTGATAATATGTTGGATCAACAAGGTCTAGGAGATCAAAGTATAAGGATAAAAAAGTATGTATATGAAATATATTACGTTTTGTAAATATATAATTCAAAAGGGGAATAATTATTAATATATATATATATATATATATATATATATGGATGAAATGACTATACAGCATAATGCCTAAAAATTGTCAAATTGTACTTTTTTCTGCTACATACCCACTTGAAGTACGTAATTTTGCTAGTAGATTTGCACCAAATGCAAATGAATTTAGTTTAAAAGTCGAGGAATTATCTGTTAGATCCATTAAACAATTTTATGTGGATTGTACAGATGAAGATCATAAAATTATTGTATTAGATGAACTATATTCCTTATTAACAATTAGTCAAAGTATAATCTTTGTTCAGGTAAAAATTTCTTTTTGTACACAAGAAAAGAAAATTATCTAAATTTTTAAATCCATAATAATTTTTTAATGTTTTAATATTTTTTTCAAAAAAAAAAAAAAAAAGAAACGTGAAACTGCTGACAGAATAGCAAGGTTGATGACAGAAAGAAATCGTAGAGTTATCAATCTTCACGCTGGACTATCAACTATTGAAAGAGATCAAGTGATGGATGGTTTTCGGTCAGGCAGTGCCAAAGTATTGATTACAACAAATGTCTTGGCACGTGGAATAGATGTGTTGCAAGTGAATTTAGTGATTAATTATGATCTACCAGTTGATTACAGTGGTAGAAATCCTGATTATGAGACTTATTTACATCGTATCGGTCGTACTGGTAGATTTGGTAGATCTGGTGTTTCTATTAATTTTGTTCATGATTTAACAAGTTGGGAGTTGGTTAAAAGGATTGAAGAACATTTCAAACGTGATATTATAAAGCTTCCAACAGATAATTGGCCTGAAGTTGAAGAAATAGTAAAGAAATATGTTTCTTAATTGTTTTTGTGTATGCATCATATTAAATAACAACAAATAATACACACACACTATAACAAATAATTATAATAAAGGTAGTGTAATAATAATAATAATAATAACTAAAATTATACTGAAATAATAAGAATAACAATAATATAATCATTTTCTAATTAATTTTTAACAAAATTTATCTCTAAAAATATTGAAAGTAAAAACTAAATTTTTCAAGTTATTTATTAGCTTTAGAATGATTTTTAAAGTAATAATTAGCAACATTTTTCACAGTTGGCTAAATTTGAAATTGGACGCGCCTAATTCAATGAAAATACAAAGAGTACAAATTAATTAATTGGGAATTAGAAATTTTCCATATTTCCCATATGTACTATTGTTGTTGTTAATTGAAAAAAAAAAATAAAAATATATATAAATATTCCTTTTTCTTTCTCTCAAAAAAATTATTTAATTTTATTATTATGGAAGAAACTCAAAAAGGTAAATTAATCATTGTTTTTCTATTAGTAAAAAAAAGCATTCTTATTCCTTATTTCAAATATTATAGTTGTAGCAATGCCTTTTGGATGTATCAGTATCTCAAGACTCTTCAACCCCAACAAAGGCCACCACAAATATTAAAACAGAACAAGGAATAAAGAATTTAATATTTGGCTCTGTGAGTTTTTAAATTCCATTCCAATTTACCTTTACATAATTTGTTTCAATCAAATCAATGAATTAAATATCATTATCAGATTTCTGAAACAACAGGAAAACTTGTGGAATATCCATTTGACACTGTCAAGACACGTCTTCAATCCCAGCCATCAGATCGTAAATTATTTAATGGTCCACTGGATTGCTTTAAAAAAACTATAAGTAAGGATGGATTTTTGGGATTGTATTGGGTATTATTACACCTAATATATTATCTAAATAATATGTGCATACAATAAATCGAAAAAGTGATTTATTTATTATTTGTAAAATAATAAATATTTCCTTTATACTCTTTCCATACATCTCCTCAATTTACTTTCTCGCAAATCATTTCAGGGATTATCATCACCAATGGTTGGTGCAATATTAGAGAATGCAATACTGTTTTTGGCATACAATCATATACAAATGTTGATAAGAGAGCATACAACACCAATAGATCAAAAGCATTTGTTATATGATAATAATTACCAAAAAGATGCTGGTCAAATTCCTCTATCAATGACTCAATTAATTTTAGCTGGTGCATTATCAGGAGTTTTGACATCTTTTTATTAACACCAATAGAATTGGTCAAGTGTAAATTACAAGTTTAAGAGACTTTTTCCTATGATACTCTAGATAAAAACACTTCCATTAATAACATTATTAGTGAATCTAACAAACCAACAATATAAGTCAATAATAACCAAATAAATTATTCAGGCCCATTATCAATTATCAAATATACATTAAAGACACATGGTATAAAAGGATTTTATTGTGGACATTTTGGTACATTTATACAAGAGACTTTTGGGGGTGGTGCATGGTTTGGTACATATGAGTATGCCACCAGATTATTTATTAAAAGAAAAGAACATTCTCTCCTTCATGCTGCTGATAATAGTAATAGTAATAGTAATATAAAAATGAATTAGGTATTACCGAACTTATGCTATCAGGAGCGTTGGCGGGAATGGTTTATAACCTTTTAATATTCCCAGCTGATTCAATTAAAAGTCAAATGCAAACAGAAGAAGTATTTTTGTCAGTAGTAAACCAGGCAATAAGAAAGAGGATTTATTAAAGTAGGAAAAGATTTATACAAAGCTGATGGAATTAAATGATTTTATAGAGGATGTGTGATAACTGTTACTAGAGCTGCTCCGTCAAGTGCAATAATATTCTTAACATATGTAAGTGTAATGATGGTAATAGTGGTTGGTGGTGTGTGATAATTTAATTAATATAATTATTTTTCATGATTGTTGTTTCTTGAAAATAATAGATTCAAAAGACACTCTCCTCACACTTACATTACACATACAAAAAAATCATTCATTTATTATTTATTCATTTTACTTATATATATAGATATTTATATACACTATTGTATAACATTAATTAATCTATTTAATTACTTTTTCCCTTTCACACATTCCATTCCCTCAATCAAATTTTAGGATAATAATAAAATTTATAATCACAAATCAAATAATTAGTTAGTTATTACTGATATTATATTTAATTACTAATTTTATTAATTAAATTGATTATTTAATTATTTAATTCAACTGGTGAAGGTAATTGAATTCCACATATTGAATAATTACTGTGATGATAAGTTTGTGATAATAAAATGTTTCTCTGGTGAATTGGTATAATTTTTTTAACAAAATATTCAACTGAACCCATTGCTTTTGTTGTCAGCTCAAAAAAATTAAACATTTGAAACACATGTACCATATCTAAAGTGAATTAATAAATTGGTATAATTATAAGTATACTACCTGGACAAAAGTATAGGGACACCTGCAGATCATCACAAATAATTGAATAAAGTGACATGACAAAAACTAAAA